GACTCTTTTTATACTAATTCCCAAATGGCAAAAGACGAGCAATGGCAAATAAAATGTCAGCTGTAGGGGTTCCTCAGACTGGAATACACTTTAAAACACTGTAGCAGCAGCTTAACTAACTACCGTTCCCCACTCCCAGCAATTGGTTGCACATTTCAGATGCATCTTGGGTCAGATTTGAGTTCCTAAAAACCATATTGCCCAAATGTAAGTAAAATTGGAGTTCAGCTGTGGTACCCTAATGTCTTGTAATAGGTTCATGTCTCACTGTCCGTTTTTGTAAATTATGGGTGCTACGAGACCCAGATTCAGGATGTTTTCAGTTACTACCAACACTGTTGCTAAGTGAATATCTCCTTACCTCTGAAGAAGGGATAGATGATGGCTATATACAGACCAGGGTGTGATTTTATGGGTCTTAGTTATAGACTCACTGCTGGAGTTCTTATCTGTCTTTGTGTAAACTGATTATTGGATCATCCATTTCAGAGCATTATTTGGTCTGGATTTAGAGAACAGGAGTCTCTTTGGTAATGTTTGGGATGACTTCATTGTTTCATGGATCCATAAGGGCTGTCAAAAGAATCAGAAATGTTGAAATGGAACCTCATTGACATGTTAGCAAAATTGGACAGCTGTTAGACTCTCATATCAGTTGTTTCGCTTGCTTTGATTTTGTTTGTTTTAACAACCTCCAGGAGTAGGGGGTCTAACTAAAGGCATTTTTCAAGTCACTATGGTAGAAGTATCTTGCATCTCTACTATGAATCCTGGGGAATTTGGAACAATTTTCATATGGCATCTTTCCATCAAGAGAGTAGGGTTTTTTTTTCTTTCCTGTAAGAAAGTACATAATTCATTTATATACAGTGGTATACAGAGTTTGATGCAATGTATGTTTTTGCTTATCAAAGATAATCTTTGGTGAACCGAGAGGTCTTCAGCCTAACAAGGTCCAGAGAAAATTGTTCATGTTGTTTTCTGATGATAAAATGGGCAAGGACATGCCTCCTAAATGGGAGATAGAAAGGTTGTCTCTCCCTCTTGGAGGTTTTGTGCTCCTTAGTCTTGGCCTTGACTTTGTCAAAATTGTGTTCAGATTTCCAGAGAAGTACTCAGAAAAGATTTACTTTGAATTTCTTTATAAAATAGGAGAAATACATTAATTACATCTAGTAGATAGTTGAAGTGCATAGATAAGCTCAGAAGACCTAGTATAAATAGATGCCGTAGAGCCGATTAGACCAATCAGCTTTCCTCTCTTTAGGGGAGGGATCAGCAGTGTATGAGGGACAGTGTCTACATGTGGGATGTGACAGATCAAATTTACTTACATTTTCTCATGCCATTAGGAAGACCAAACATTCAGCACTGTTGAGACAAACATGATTAGAGCAGGAACTCTTGGACTAGGCTTTATGGACCACTATGTGGATGGTTTCAAGAGGTCACTGAGACCCCAGAAACTGCATGTGAAAGTTTTTTAGTTCTGAGTTGTCATCTGTTCTTTCCTTGAAAGGATGACATCTTAAGACCAGAGGTGTAGTCTCTAGTTTAATTAGATGGAGTCATTTTGTTTCCATTAGAATTTTCCTGCTCTTCTACAATGGATTCCTTAACCTAGGTTAATAGGTACTTAACCTGGGGTTATGGGCCCTGCAATGGATATATTTCCCTGACGTTGTCTGCGAAGTTTTGTGTGCATATGGGTTTTTTTTTTCTTGTGGGGAGAAGGTTCATTATTGCATTAAGTTCTCAAATCTCTATGATTTGAGATTAAGATTAAGAAAGAAGCCACTAATTTAGAGACCAGTCATTGTTCCCTCATTTGGTATGCATCCCCTTTAAGCCCCATTAGTCTTCACAGTCACATGGGCCCTAGGTTCAGTTCGTTATGCTTATGAAGTGCATGGACTAAGTGATGACCCTTATTTTTATGTAAATTTGACGTAGGATTGAGAGTCAACTCTGTAAACTATTGTTTGGATTTCCAAACTGGAAATTATTGGATACCATTTGTATCATTTCTCCATGGGCTATTCTTTGCTGCTGTCTGTCTCAGCTCTGGTCTTTAGACCATGATCGCTGGACAATCCACCCATGAAAAGCTTCAGCAGGTTGTCTTTATCTTTGTAACTGTAGTCTATCCTGAGCTATAATTGGTTCTAAAGAGGATTTTCTTTTCCTTTTCTTTTCTTTTTTTCAGCCTGAGAGAAATTAGGCACCTTAGCCAGGAATTCTTTAAGAGATATTCCGGGTATGTTCTCCCCACGTTTCCGGGAGCTTTTATACCTTCATTCTTTTGTTGGTTGTTTTTGGTTGTCCTCTGTCTTCCCTTCAGCAAGATTTATACAAGTAGAGGAAGGTTGCTGAGGGATTAGGTGAGTGGGTGCTTGGGGGACTCTCTGTTCCTGCCAAATGATCTTTTTAAAAAAGTATTGAGTATTTTTTTTTTTTAATTTCCCAATCATAGTGTAAATTCCTCTTTGCAAAATGGTTTTTGGGGCTTTGCCTGGGCCCCATGTGCCAGAGTCGGGGATTCATCTTGGCCAGACACTGCCACATATCGAAGAGGCAGCCGTTTCCAGGAAAGCTCGGAGAGCTGTGGCTCCTAGAAATCTTTCCTTGATCGTATGAGCCAGGCCTCAACACTTTTGACCATCTGGAAAATTTTGGACCCGAACACCAGTATCTGTCTCATACATATTTTTCTTTTCAGTTCTTAAGGTTTCTTTTTTAATTTTTGTTCATTTGAGATACATATTTATTACTATGTTATCTACAAGCTCCAAGAAGTGTATGCTTGAGGGCTGCAAAGAAAATCATCAGAAAAAGAGTTGATGTACTCTCTGTGGATACACATTGCTGTTCTTTGTGCCCTTGTGGTGCTCAAAAAGCAGTTTTGGAATGACTAAATCTGGAAACTTTTTACTGACACGTAGTATTAGTGACAGAGTGTTTCTTTGCAATTTTCAGCTACTCTTGAACAAGTAAGGATTTCATCTCTCCTTTCTTCACTCTCCGTGGTGTTTGCTTTCTGTAGTGTGCATCTCTGTTTAGTTAATGCTGTGACCTGAATCTTGGCCCCTGCTGTGTTTCTGCAGCCTCTCTTGTTTACAGTGCGATCAGTCTGTTTATTTCTAAATGTGGACAGCATCTCCAAAATGCTGTGAGGTGGACTCCGTACAACCAAGGACATGTTATTTTGCTGTAGCTGTGCGCGGCATCACCGCTCATTAGTGCTCTGCTTTTGGTGCTACGCTTATGCCAGTAGAAAAGCAATCCTAGCTGTGTTGCAGAACCAACTCAGACAGTCTGAGTCTCCTCGTGTTTTTTTTTTTTTTTTTTTGGTTTTCTGTAAATTAGCTAGCTAAATCCCTTGAACCTATTCATATATTCAGCCTTTTTTTTTAACCTTTTGGGTAACATAAATTGATGAATTTGCTGTGATCAATCATTTAAAAATTATTGACTCTATACTAAGCACAGACTTAAACATAAGACATATCTTTGCCTACTGAGTGTTTATGATCTATTTTGGAAAATAAGACACGCACACTCAACGGTTAAGGAACGAGATGGTATTATGTACTCTAGTGCAAATTATTCACAGAATAAAGTACTTTCGTGGCATTGAAAAGTAGAGAATTAAACATCCAGTGGGCGTTTGCTGAATGCCCACCATGTGCTAAGGCATGGGTATTGAAAGTTAAGTAAAGTTTAGTGCCTTATCAATGACCTGAGAATATACTATAATAAGTGACACTGGTGTGATAGGCAAGCCCTACAATACAAGGCAGAGATACATTGAGATTAGAGTGGGCCAGCAGCCACTGGGAAGATGTAAAGCAGTCCAGCTTTGTGTGCTCTATCCCTGATGATTGTATAGACTCACGTCCTAGACCTAGACCGTTTAATCCTCGTAAGGATTATGGCTGGGATGTGCTATTATTCCCAGTGTATCATGGAGTCTGTGTCTTTCTAGCTAAAGTCCTTTTTTGTCCTTTCCCTCCCTTATCACTCGATGGTGCTCTTTGGTGAGTTCAACTTGTTTAAAAACCCGATTCTTGGGTCTTGCCTCACCCCTCTGTACGGAAAGCCGCTGTGAGACATAGTTATATGAAAGCATCTGTTCAGTATTTCTTTATCCACCCTTTTGCTTTTTCACATCCGTGTTGACTGACCTTGGCTCATGTGCTCTGGGAGGACGTTGTTGAATGCTCTGTGTCCAGCTCTCCTCACAGGTGCGTTTTGATGATGTTAGTGATGACAGTGGTAACCTACAATAGTCCTTGATCCGCTATCAAAATGGGCCATAATTTTCCTCTCCAGGCTCATGGTTTTCTTCCCTGTTTTTTCCTTTTTTGGACCGGGGCTATATACAATCAGTTATTATTCTGTGTGTTCTCTGTGCTTCATTTCTTTGGAAAACCCCTTCAAGCTAATGGCTGGGATGATGAAAGCGCTGGCAGCTCCCCTTGGCAGCCCCTCTCCCTCAGCTTTCGGCACTTTTCTTTGGCAGAACTCACTTAATTTTATAGAAGTTGGAGCTTACCTGGAAGAGAAGAAAGTCCTTTCTCTGGTGATCCAGAGGGATGACCCGCCCCCGGGGGATTCTGCACTCCAATTTTCAGCTTAGTCATTTGACTTGAAGGATGAGGCAGTCCTGAGGGAAGATAACTTTTATTCTGCCTTTGCCAGCTTAGAAAAAAATATGTTCTATTTATTTGTGTTCCACTATTACTAGGAGCTGAATCATGTTTTGGTTGAGATTGGTGTGGGTCGAACCATATGATATAGCCATCTTTGTAGTAAAAAATAGTCAAATATTGGCAACATCATCTAGTTCAACCTAATAAATCTTATCCATAGAATCTGAACTAGCTTATAGCTGGTTTCTCTTAATGGTGAGCTGTGAAAAAGTATTCCAGATGCTACACTAAGTGAATTTAAAGGAAAGCTAGTGCTAAGATTTCCCTCCTCTTTCTGTTGCTTCCTAGGTCACTCTGCACCTGAATCCCATCTCTTCAGTCCACATTCACTACAAGCCTGTTGTGTTCCTGCTCAACTCTCCACAGCCCCTGGTCTGGCATCTGAAGACAGAAAGGCTTGCGACTGGGGTCTCCAGACTTTTCTTGGTAAGTATTCGAAACCATCCCAAAGTGATCCTTAACACAAGGATATAATGACCCTAAAACTTTGGAAGGCTTTTTAAAAGGCTTATTTCGTTGAAATAATACCCAAGTCCACAGTGTGTTAAATTTGGCTTATGCTCTTAGTGATGTTGGGACGGCACAGATAAGCATTCACAGGAAACAAACACTAATCGTGTGTCTTCTTCTGTAGGTGGAGAGTCAGGTCTAGTCTGCACGTTAGAGCAGGGCCTGCAGTCATAGTCTGTGTGGCCTGAGCTTCGGTCTCAGCTCTGAGCCTCCCCTTGTGGCATCAGGAGCAATGTAAATATTGTAAGTAGCCACTAGGTGTGTGGTCTCTGACCATAAAATAAATATGCACAAACCCATCCTATTTGTATATAACACGGGCCTAATTTCTGATATGAGGATCTGTTTGTTGAGAAAGTGACACAGGGAGCTCCAAAATGAAAACATTTGTATTTTATAAAAAAGCTGGAACCCAGCTCTTATGGAAAGATCCAAATATTACCTACTATTTGTAAATCATGTCCTTTTGAGTTTGCCAGAACATTCAACTTTGCTAGTTGTGGAGAAATTGATGGGTTGTTTGGATGGAATTTTTGGGGTATGATATCATGTCTGATGATGAGCAACTCTGCACTTCACAGTGATAACTCACATTGTCTATTGCTCGAGCTGCACGCTCATGTCCTTAAAGGCAGAGTTGAGGCTTTAAACCTCTCTTGCCCACAGCATCCAGAACAAAAAGAGGCTTCAGTTAATAGTCTTCCTCTTGCATGATGAATAAACTTTGCCTAATTAATGACTCTTAATCCAAATCTGTAGTTTCTTGTCACTTAGATTTGAAGAGTTCTTTTAAATACTCAAGGTATCCAATGAATAAAGGAAGAATCCATAGTCAATACAGTTAATAAATAGATAAATAAATGAGTAAAAAGGGGAGAAAGGAAAGTTCCTCTTTATAGTAGAATGCCAATCAATAAATATAGAAGGAATGGTGGCATTTGAAAATCATCATTTTGCAGCCGTCATAGTAAAAGTTGATTAGGGAAGAGTCATCAATAGATGCTAAATCTAGTGGAGGTGGAGGGAGTTTGAGGAATGGTATATTTATGTAGTCTCAAATTACTTACTAATAACAAAAGAAAAACAGTAACTATATACAGTGGAGCTACCAATACCTTAATCAACTGATCAAAATTAACATCACCAGTGTAGTGCAGATGGATATTGTGTGCCTCCAAATGTGGTAACCTGAGAAGGAACACAGCATCACTTATGCAGTATTCTAGCCAAAAATGCTCATAACCTGAATCTAATCCTGAGGAAACATTGGACAAAACCAAATTGAGTGACATTCTGTACAATAACTGGCCTGTGCTCTTCAAAAATGTCAGTCATGAAAGACAAAGACTGAGGAGCCATTCCAGATTACAGGAGACTAAGAAGACACATGTGACCCTAAACTGTGATCCTGTTGGGTAGGGAGTGGGGCCGTTGCTATAAAGGACATTGTGGGGACAATAGACAGAATTGGAATTGAGCCGATAGATTAAATGATTGTGTCAATGTATTATTTCTTGGATTTGTAGATGTACTATATATAAGAGAATATCCTTCTTCTTAGGAAACGTAATACACTTAAGTATTAAGGGATAAAGGGCCAAATAAATCAGAAAAAATATATGATTTATAGATAAAATAATAAAGCACATGTGGCGAGATGTTAAAAACTGGTGAATCTAGTTAAAGGGTATACAAGAGTTCTTCGTCTATATTTGCAAATTTGCTGTAAATTTGAATTAATTTCAAAATAAAAATTTTTTAAACTCAGAAGTACATTTTACAAGGTTGCAGTTATTGTAACTTAAATTGTAGCCTATTCTGACAATTGAAACTCTCATGACTTCTAAATTAAAGAGGCCAAAAGTCAGAATCAGTCGTCGTTATTCCTCTTCCTAGCACATTTATTTAGTACTCAGTGCCTTCCAGGTATTGCACTCAGTGCTCCAATACTTGAGCTCATTCAGTTCTCACAATAACCCTGTGACGGTGGGGGTACTTACCTCATTTTACAGATGCATTTACAGAAGAGGAAGTAAGACTTAGGTTAAGTAGTGACCCAAATCACACTGCTAGTTACTGGCAGTGTGGGACTCAGACCCGCAGAGGACTTACCCTACAAGCTCTTATGCTAAACTGGCTCCCTTCATACTCACAGTCATTGTCAATCTCCTGTAATTAAAGGTATTTGTGATAGTGTGTCTAATGGCCGTGATCATACAGTTGTACACACATTTAGCCCTTATAGTGCAGAGCTATACCGTTCAATACTAGGCACTAGCTGTGTGTGGCTATTTAAATTTAAATTAACTAAAATCAGAAATACACTTCCTTAGGCACACTAGCCACATTTCAGGTGCTCAGCAGCTATATGAGGCTAGTGGCTACCACATTGGGCATGGAGAGGGTTATGGAGAAGTTACGAGCAAAGGCTTTACCTACTCTGGTTTGAATTCAAGCAGTAACCTGGGGCAAATTATTTAATTTCTCCTAGCCTGTTCCTCTTCAGTTGTAATATGGGAATAATAATAGTCCCTACATCAGGGGGTTGATATTTGATTAAATGAGATTACATGTAAAACGTTTAGTACAGGGCCTGGCACTGATAACTTCATAGACATTACCTGCCATAACATTGTTGTTCTTTATTATAAGTCATAGTAATGAACACTTTTGGAAAGGATGTTGAATTTACATTTCTAATTATGAAATTTCTATCTTGGCCAGCCCCAGACTGAAAGGAGTTCCTATTTCTCTGGGCTATAGGTCCAGAAGAAAAGTATGAGCCACATATATCACAGTTACTGGTGACTCTCTGGATTCCTTCTTCAACTTACCACTCCATGGGTTTTGAGGGAAAGTATCTTTCTCCTAGTTATTAATTTTTTGCTTTAATTTTGTTTAAGATCTGTAAGAACTGCTTTTTGGCCCTCAGTTTAAGATACACTAACAATGAAAAAAGGAGACAGTTTTAGTAAACAGTTTAACATCAACCCTATTTGGAGTTAATCCCATGTAAGGAGATTGCAGATCAAGTGATGAATCTAAAATTACCAAGACGGGGGAGGCAGCATTGGGAGAAGTCAAGGATTTAAATTCTGGAACACCTGAACTCTGCTTTGTTGTTCAGCAGGCTTTATTTAGGGAAAATGGTTTTCTCTCATCTGTACATTTCTTCATGGCCTGGGAGAGATGGTGGAACGTCTGTTGTTCATTCAGGTTCTCAGGTCAGTAGACAATGAGTGATTCAAGTTCTCTCACAAGCTGGGCAGCTCTCTCTAACAGAGAGTGTGCTGAAGAAAGCAAGGCGAGCTCTTCCCTTGCTCTCTGTAGCCTGAAATGAATTTCAGAGTCTGCTCATCCACTTGACAGCCTTTTCAGCAGGGGGATCACCTGCTAGATAGAAAACCAGTGGTGTGTTCTGTTTATCCTTTTATTATAGTTAAGAGTTAAAGTTTGGGGATAAGATAACCAGATTATTTTACGTAAGGTGTTTCATCTAAACCCTTTAGAAGGCCTATGGAATCTTTGGAAACAGGCCTAGCTGTTTCTATCAGTGTCTTCTCCAAGGTTACCCAGATAGCTAGAGGAGCTGAGGAGAGAGGGTGGGTCTCTTGACTCTCAGTCTAAGATGCATGTGTCCTTGCTTCCTCCCTGATATGCTTCTGAAGGATTTGCTTGACTGTCTTAAAGCTGTCTTTACTTTCTAGGTGGAGGTTTAATACTTTAACAGTTTTTTTTTTTTTTTTAAATGGGGTGGGGAGAAAAGTTCAAGTAATGGCGTCTACTCATCTATCCGGGTGACCTTTTAATTTAATTTGACGTGTCTCCATTATTATAACTGCCCAAATTAAAAAAATGAAACCTTTCATAATTAGTTAGCAGGGCCTTGTGTTACTCACAACGTCTCAGCCACCCACAAGGGTGACTAAAAACATTATACTTCAATACTGTCTAATAAAGGCATCTGGTTTTTTCTGTCAAATCATTCCAGTCCTTCTCATGATTCTACCTTGCAGGCGAGAGAGAGTGGGTCAGGCAGGGAGAGAGTGGGACTGTGTCCTCTGCAAGTGCAGTTCCTTTATCTGGTTGTTCTGCTCTAGGAAATGGGAGTGGAGTGAAGATGATTGTTTTAGGCTGAGTATCAAGTAGTGGACCTTTGAATACGAGTCACAAACATGCACACATGCACACACAACGGAGCTGTCCCAGCTTTATAGTTTTTCTCTTGAGTGTTTGGAATATTGGGTAGGTTAGAGTTGTCCCTCAGTGCAATCAGAAATAAAAATAATCCTACCCTTTCAGTCTATCCTGTTGAAACTCCAAGTAAAACTCTCATAGAAGAATCATCTAAGCTTATTTTTTTATTTATGTAATTATTTCCACACTGAAGAAAAAGTAAGGTAGTTCAACTGGGCAATAGATATCTGAACTTTCAACCTGAGTTTGCTAAAAATGTTTGGGAAGAGCCACAATACTAAATTGTCTTTTCAATTTGAATAGACATTTCTCCAAAGGAGAAACACACATGGCCAATAAGCTCACTAAAAGATGCTCAATATCATTAGTCATTAGGAAAATGCAAATTTAAAAGCACAATGAGATGCCACTTCATACCCACTAGGATGGCTATAATAAAAAGATATAATAACAGGCATTGTTGAGGATGTAGGGAAATTGGAACCCTTATACATTGCTAGTGGGAATGTAAAATGGTGCTTTGGAAAACAATTGGGCAAAACACATGCCCACAGAAAAACTTGTCCCCAAATGTTCATAGCTGCATTATTCATAATAACCAAAAAGTGCAAAAAAACCAGATGTCCGTCAACTGATGAATGGATTAAAAAAATGGATTAAAAAAAAAACTGGTATATCCATGTAATGGAATATTATTTGGCCATTAAAAGGAATGGAGT